CACCTTGCCTTGAAAACTGCAAGGACTCGTCCAAGCAGTCACTGCAGAGTCGGTAACGACTGAGCGCAGATTTTAAAAAAAATATATATACAGTGGCAGAAATTCAAAGATGGAGATGAGTAGGTAGAGGTAGAGAAGGAAGGAGGAAAATGGAAATAAAGGAAGTATCAAATCATAGGAATTTAACCCCTTTCTCAGCCAGATGCATTTTTTCCTCTTATTGTTGCCAGTTACTGAAATAGCAACATGCCGATGTTGCATCAGAAAATATTTGCTACCTGCTCCACCCAAAAAGAGCTTGTGCGCGTGTGTGTGTGTGTGTTTTATGAGAGAGAGGGAGAGTGGAAGAGCACGTAATTTCACCAATGAAACTTTTCTTGGCATGTTTTCTGAATCAGATTGCATGACTACTTCATGGATTGGCCATTGCAAACAGGCTTCAGCTTTTGAGCAAGTCCTTCTGCTTTCAACAGAAACCATACTTTGAACCAGTTTCCGGATTTGATTTAAATGGAAGTAATGGTTTGCAGCAACAGTAGTTTAGCCAACAATGAACCATGATTGTGAGTTTGTTCATGATTCCTGTAGATGCCAAAATTCTGTTTGTCACATGGCTATTAAAAGCCTGGGGGATTACTAAAGTACAGTAATTCTGCTTAATTCTCTAATGGCCACTTAAGAATTCTCCTATTTTATATGTATGCCCTCTTTATAATCTTGGATTGAGGTTTACTTCCTTCTTTTCCAATTTTTACCTTATTTGGGCAGCATTTTATCTCACAGCACCTCAGATTTGTGTTTGAGAGACAGCCAAAGCTGAGAGTCATAGTAATACGAATGGAGGCCATTTTAACTTAATAAGAGTATTGCTTCTTTCATCTTTGTGTTGCTAAAGTTTCAGTATAATATATCTCAGGCACTCAGGATGTTGATGATACCTGTAATGGAAGAAAGGAGGTTCTCTTTTTTCATCCCTGAATTCCCTTTGAGATAAATCAGTATACACAGAATTTAAACACTTAGTATCACTATCCCTTTTCTTCTGATCTTAAAGAAGGGAAGACTCCAAGAGTGTAAGATACTCAGCTGTCTGAGAGTGAGGACAATTCCACCAGCTTCCAGTCCCCTACTCATGGGCACAGCTAGATGACTGCAGTAAACTTTTCTAATAAATTTAGGCAGATAGGTGTGTAGGATCTTGCAGAGGTGGAACAGCTATCTCAGCCAAATTAGAAGTTTATAGCATGACAGATCAGCCAGAGCTGGGTTTTAGCAGATTGCTTTGACGGGTAATCAGCTAAATTATACTGAACACTGAAAACATTATTAACATATTAACTGTGGGTTAATAAATTTTTTTTAAATGGATAACATCTTTTAAAAAATGGATACACTCCTTTTCTGAAAGTCTTTTAGCTACTGGAGTTTGCTGACTGAATTTATATAATATAAACAGTCTCAGCTTTCTGCATTTGGTGGGCTGTAGATTGAAAGATCCAGTGATTACATTGAAAGGTGATGTGGCTTCATGTCCAAACTAATTTGTGTTGTTTTCTTCCTAAACTAAAAGTTCTGACAGTAAGCAGCAGAGGGTATTCTATTATTAACATAGCAACTTGAGTACTTGCTCATTCAATGACAGTGGAGGGCCCGGGTGTGATCTTACAAGTTTTTTTGTGTCAAACAGTGATTGCAATGGCAGGAAGTATTGTTGTTCATGCACAAGTTCTGCACTTTAGAGGTTGTTCTGCATTAGATTCAGAAAATTGGCGTATTACATGTGCTAGATTCCTCACCCAAATATTAGAAAACAGCAAATGTAGGTATGTTGAGTTATAGAGGTCATTGATGGAAGCCATTCAAAAGAATCCATTATTTCATTGTTTCATTGATTAAATAATTAATTGACAATATAAAACTAGAATTGTTGTATCATCTTGAGAAATAATTGTAAATCAGTACAAAACTCTAAACAGTAATATTTATACTGATGTCACTGCTATTTATCGTTATCTAAAATAAATATACATGATCTTATGAAAAGAAAAAAAAATCACCATTGTACCCAAGTGGTGATTATATCAAATTATTTATAAACATTAAAATTGCTTCTGGTTACTATCTTTACAACAGCAGCAGTACCTTTGGCAGCTATGCTCTGGAGCATTCCCCTAGTGGACCTACATTGGATGGGTACGTGAGCTCACCCTTCTACCCAAAGATTTGCAAACCTTGGAATGGCTGTTCTCTCTTTGGTCACCTTATAATGAGCAGATACTCCTGTAGGAAGAAACTTGCTAGTTATCCATGTGTGTGAATCACAGAGTGCACAATGAAAAAGAACTGATTACTTTTTGGATATGCGGAATCCATATTGGGTTGGGAGGAGGAGTAGCAGGAAAACATGTATGGAATTAATTAAAAAGCTGTAATTAAAGATTGCATGTAGATGGAAAAAATGGAAAAATGCTGGGCTAGGGCAAATAGGAACAGTTTCACGTGAAGGCCATTTAATACAAGTGACATTATGCGGCTATCAGAAATCAGTTGTGGTACTTTGGGACATAAGTCCAGAATCTCACTTAATAAGCAGGAGGTCCCCAAATAAATAAGGCTTGTTTATCACATTTTGTCAAACGTGAAGAAAGACATTCCAGATACTTTAAAACGATGTTGCTTAAAGTGTGGTCTGAGGGCTCATGGGGGTTCCCCAAGGCCCTCTCAGGGGTCCACAAAATCAAAATTACTTGTCAGTGACTGAAGATATTTGCAAAATTTGAAATAATGTCACTCTTCTCATTATTATTTTTTATTTGTTAAAACAATATAGGTTTTTTCATGAAAAATATTTTATTTATATTAATATCTAATGGGTTTAATGGTGTTATTTTTACATGATTCAATCAATAAATATTCTGCAAATGCATCAGTTTTAATTTTTAATATGGTAAATATTGATAAATATAACCCATACAAAATTTTTAAAAGTGGGAAGGGGTTCTGACAGCAAAAAGTTTAAGAAATGCTGCTTTAAAAGGTTCTAACTCTTATTCACCCGCATAGATTTTGGCTGGTGATACTCATCACTTGCCTTTTCTACTTGTGTCGTCCTTTGGGGTGGAAGGAGAATGCAGGCGAATATGTTAGTGACAGTGATAAGGAAGCAGCAGCAGCAGCTCTTGTACTTTTAAGTATACAGAAGGTGTCTAACCTTGATCCAGATTCTTGATTTAAGTTTTGGTAAAAGTTCAACATAGTATTTGTTCATACTATACAGCCTAATGTTCTCAACTGCTCAAAGTCCTGATCACCTCAGCCTTCTTAGCCAGGTGTCTTTCAGATATGTTGAACTCCGTTTCCTATCATTCATTTTGTGGTGTAGCTATATCAGTGGGACAATTATGAGGGTTGATTTGAAACACCTGAAGGACACTTGGTTGGGGAAGGCTACTGTTACCCTTACAGGGTAGTCCAGACAAGAAGCACGGCCAGATGAGCTAATTCTACTTTATATTACATTACTTTACATTAACAAAATTTTACAAGTCTGAAAGTACATTTCTCCCCATCCTCTTTACAGCCCAAGAAACTAGGGAGGGTCCCTTCTGAGCCACTTGCCCCACCCACATTCCTGCTGCAGGCTAAGTTGCCTTTTATCCGACCATTCTCTAGGCTGCATCTCTTCTCCCTGTCTCCCAAGGCCATTCCCACATACCACAGCAGCTATGATATTGTTGATGAAGACCTGTTGCTAAGTGTGTAAACTGTGGGCTGGAAATTTCTAATGAAAATCTCAGCTTAGAAATATTCTTGCTGAAGTGGCCTGAAGCAAGCATTGATCCTTAAGTCAGTTTCTACAGATTGGGAAAATATTGACTTGATTTCTGAAAAAGAAACTTTCTGTAATGTTACTGAAATTCAACTAACGTATTTAAAACAAAAGTGGGAACCTCCTTCATAGATCCTATTTATAAGGATTGTTACAAGCATGCATGTGAAATGCTTTGAACATTCAAACAGTGCTAATTGCTCACAATTGTATTTTATTTAATAAACAGTTGTTCAGCAATGTCAGTGATGGAGAAAATTGTTGCTTGTTTGAACAAGGACACCGTACACCACATAAGCAAGAGATGCACACCATGGAAGCAGCAAAGCTTGTGGAACACAATTTGAAAATGACACTCACGAAACTTGTGGCTCATCTCTTTGGTGATGGTAGGTACCTCACAAACCAATCAAATGGCTTCTCTGATAAGACTGCAATGTACTTATCAATGTCATGCACTCTAGCAGCTAGTAGCTATAGGTATCGCCTAGTCACTGTAAGTGATAACTGTAGTAATTGCCCCAGCATCTTTAAAACGCTAATCTCAAACTTGCACACTGGTGATGCCCCCACATTATCTGTGCATGGAAGGAGGATGTCAATTAACACATAGTAGCAACAGGCACACCCAGGTATGTGCCATATTATACAGGTAGTCCTTGTTTAGCGACTGCCTCATTTAACCACCGTTTGCAGTTATGATGGTGATGAAAAAGTAATTTTATGACCAATTCTCACATTTACAATCTTCATAGGTCTGTAAAGCAAAGTAAGTCTGAAATAAGATGATAAGCACGGTTGCAGTTTCACTTAGTGACCGCTTCGCTTAATGACTGAGTTCCCAGTCCTATTGTGGTCGCTAAACAAGGTCTACCTGTGATGATATTATACCCAGATATGTATACAAGATCTATGAGCAGCGGTTCTTTCTCACAACACAATACAGCTTTGTACAGCTTAATAGATGTTATACTTGTTTTGATGCATGAGGATTTATGATCATTCCTATTTGATCCAGTAAGCAGAAATGTACATATTGTTATATTTTTGATGTATTGTTTTATGTTCCAGATTAACTTATAGTAGAGGATAAACTTATTCAAATTCTGAACCATAAATTAAAAAAAACACCAATAACATATCAAAATTGCAATACAACATAACAATATCAGAACTAGTGTGCTCTTATACCAACATTAAGAGTGGTGTATTTCTGAGTCTCAAAAGGATCATTTTGGAATTATGGGAGCTGCAGTCCTTCACATCTGGAGGGTGCACCTGGGTAAGGAAAATGTATTAGAAAGCTGAACATGATGAATTTAAGCTCCAGCAAAGTTATTCTTAAACTATAATTAAAAATATAGTATATAAATAAATAAATGCTATGAACATTAGAATTCATGCAAGATGTTGGCAAGGTTTGAAGTTGTTGGGATATATTTTTATCGTGCATCTAGCAAAGAACATTTTAATTTAAACTCCTACACAAACTGTAAGGTGTTAACAACTACTTTATTTTTCTTGTTGAATTTTTTTTTGTTTGGGGTATATACATACTTGTTATTTCTTTGCATAGTCAATTCCAGTCATATCTATTTTTTTATTCATGTTACATAAACTGAGAATAAATGTCAGACTGAACATAGAGCACTTGATGATACATGTTTCCTTTGGTTGTGTCTCATGGGATTATCCATTTTTAGATTATTTGTCATCTTATGTTCAAATTATATTTTAAAACAATATTTTCAGATCAATACAAAAAGCCAAGATTGTAAAGATGGAGATAAGGTATCATTGTTTTCAATTCCACATAGTGAATGCAATGCTGGCTACAGTATTTACCTTTAGTTAAGTATGTTTTTAAATAATTGACCTTCTCAGATGAAGCCTAACATTTATGTTTCTAATGGGTTTTCAGGTCCGTTATAAACTGGATGTGTGGCATAGCAGTTAGTATGCTGGGCTAGAGCAACAGAGACTCAGGTTTGGATTATCCACCTGGTCATGAAACATATTGTTGTACACCAGTCATGATCTTCTGGCTTAAGATAGAGTCAGAATAGAAGAAGGCTGTGTATGCCATTTTGAAATGAAATGAACTACATGGTTAAAGAGGATGTTGTATAGGGCTAGCCCGGTGTTTCTCAACCATGCCAACTTAAAGATGTGTAGACTTGCTAGGGAATTCTGAGCTGAAGACTATGGATAACTCGGCCAGCCAGTTTGGTGTAAGTGGGTAAAAGAGTTGGATTAGACTGTGAGTTCTAGTCCTGCCTTAGACACAAAGCCAGCTGGGAGACTTTGGGCCAGTCACTCTCTCTCAGCCCTATGAAGAAGGCAATGGTAAACCCCTTCCAAAGATCTTGCCAAGAAAACCGCAGGGACTTATCCAGGCAGTCTCCAGGAGTCAACACTGACTTGAAGGCACAGAATTTTACTTTACTTTAAATTGGGGTTTCCCACAGTGTGAGGTGGTGTCCCTCCCTTGGGGAGGTGCAGATGGAGTCCACAAGAGGTGTGAAGAACCTTTTAGTTGTACATTATTACAATAAATCCACCTTTCCCAAAGTTTCATTGTATTGTTTTCGTTGTTCATTTGTGTTCATTCTGGTCTTTGGATTTTTAGGGGAGATGTGTATATTAAGATTACACTAAAGGGAGGTGTGATGGCAGAAAGTTTAGGAACCCCTGCTTTAAAGGCTTGTGGCAGTTTTGTTATTGAGTCTCCTGCTTTTCTCTTGTGGTTTTCCAGAACTCTTCATCTGAGTAAAGAGCAAGACTGAAAGAGAGGCACTCAGCTTCACTTAATGCACAAGGGAAAGAATAAGTTGTTCTGTTTTTCAGACCCTCTATTTCTTTTTGTATGTAGAAGGTTTCCTGCACTATGTGGTTAATGGAGCATGTTGCAGATATAGTGGAAACACATCAGTGCTAACTTTTATTCATTATACCACTCTATGAAATATTCATAGAGAGGCACAAATTAGGAAAGAATAGCTTGGAATTTAAAGTGGGCTACAAAGAAATTTATTTGGTAAGAGATCTTTTAGGTAATAATAATACAAGAAATACAACAAGAATGCAGCTTGAATAAAGGAAGCAGATAACAATAAAAAAGAAGATGAAATGAAAGAACTTATAATAACAACAGAAATGGTGGAGAAAAGGGCAAGGAAGATCAAGAATTGATTAGCACCAGGTGAAGATGAACTGCATGGTTTTTGGTTGAAACACCTGACTACTCTGCACCCACTCTATGGCAAGAAGTTTAACAACATGCTGCAAGGAGGTGAAATTGAAGATTAGTTAACATCTGGCAAAACCTAGCTGATAATGAAAGATCCAGCAAAAGGGGCAGCACCAGACAACTACAGGCCAATTACCTGCTTGCCAACAACTTTCAAATTGCTAACTGGTGTAGTAGCTGATGCAGTCCAGCAGCATCCGGTTGAAAACAAGCTCTTTCCATCTGAGCAGAAAGGAAGCCACCCAAACAGCAGAGGGACAAAAGATCAGCTC